GGGGCAGGTACTAAGAACCGAGGGGGAAGGTTTGCATGTTCAAAGATCCTGGGTCCAGGTGGGGCGACCAGCCCGTGGAAGTTGGGGAGACAGTTCTGTGAAGGAAGGTCATGGAAACGGACACTTCCTCCTGGCCCAAGGGGAGGCACGATTTGTTTTTTTAAATATGTTTTTACTGATATTTTTAGAGAGAGAGGGAGGGAGAGACGATGTGAGATTGAAACATGGATCGGCTGCCTCCCGCACGCCCGCTGCTGGGGGTCGAGCCTGCGGCCCGGGCCTGCGCCCTGACGGGAATCGAACCCGAGACCCCTCCGTGTGCAGGACGACGCCCAACCACTGAGCCACACGGGCCAGGGCGGTTAGTACATTTTTAATGTGGAAAACTTTCCCTAATAACGGAATTTCCTTCTCTCCAAAACTTTTATTAGAACTCTCTTATGCCTGGATCTTCAACGAGTATCCATCGTTTGTGGAAGAAGACAGCCGGAGGTTCATCTCGCAGGAGACGGGCCACCTGTACATAGCCAAGGTGGAGCCGTCCGACGTGGGGAACTACACGTGCGTGGTGACCAGCACGGTGACGGCCGCCCGGGTGCTGGGCGCCCCGACGCCCCTGACGCTGCGAGCGGACGGTAGGGACCAGTGGGAGTGTTGTGGGAAAAGTGAAACCCATGGGGACAGTGAGGGGAGTCTCTTGAGGAATCATCACTTCATTTGTTTTAGATCAAGAATATTTACGAGGGGGGCACTGAAAGGATTCCTTAGGCCACGGGTCCCTGGGCACAGCCCCCGCACAGGACCAGCTTCACAATCTGCGGGGAGCGGCACAGAAGGAAAACGAGGGGCCCGTGGTCACACAATGAGTGGGCAGTGCCCGCCGGCGTGGCTCAGTGGTTGAGCGTTGACCCAGGAACCAAGAGGTCACCGGTTCATTCCTGGCCGTGCCTGGGCTGCCGGCTTGATCCCCAATATGGGGCGTCCAAGAGGCCGCCGATTGATGATGTTTCTTTCGCATCGATGTTTCTCTCTCTCACCCTCTCCCTTCCTCTCTCTCTCTCAAAATCAGTAAAAACAAATTTTTAAAAAATGAGTAAGCATTTCCAATGGTGACCCCATTAAACCAGGCACAGGGCCCGTTGAGCCTGGGGCCGCGTGCTCCCCGTGAAGTCACCTGTCCTGACCTTCATCGGCTTGAGGGGCTTTGTTTCAAGCTAAAAGTTATCTCTATAAAAAACAAAGGATACATGTGAACCTTAAATGCTCAGAGCATTTGCATCTTATAATGGAAAGTTTGTACCTTTGACTAATGTGAAATTGGCTCCACTGCCAGGAGCACGGTGCTTGTATTTCTCAATACTCTGCTGTATCCTCGAAATTGCTAAGAGAGCAGACGATCAGTGTTCTCACCACACACACAAAAATTAACAATTAATTAAAAGCAGTGTCTACGTGAGGGCCTGTGTGTGCCAAGCTGATTGAGATAATCATTTCACAACGTGTACCTAATATATTAAATCATCACAATGTACACTGAAAAACCTAAATAGATACAATATATTTACAATGCAGCCTAAACCTATACAGTATTTATGTGTCCATCGCACGTCAGTAAAGCTGGGGAAAGTGTTTCATTTTCCCCTTCATGGCTGTTTCAAGGGAGCCCACGAGCTGCAGGGCAGCAGATCTGTAAGCCTGAGAAACCGCCCACGTGCACAGGACCGTCTCTGATGCGGGTGCTGGGCCTCAGGGACCTGAGCCCCCTTCCCAGTCGGCGATGGTTGGGTTTGGCCTGTCCCGCTTTTTCCATTACTGTGTCTTGTCACTGGGGAGCCATCTACTAAGCCCGAGATGGACGCCTGTGCTATGAGGGTACCGTTAAGTCGATTTCCTCCCATAATGTTTGCTCTTCAGGGTGTTTCGAGAAGTCATAATGCATTGTACATTTCAGTTTGACCAGAAATGTCCAAACTGGACAGAGAATTCCAAAGCCTCCCGCTTAATGTAACGGAAGAAGCACGGCGGTTTCCCGGAACTGCTCTGTAGACGGCCCTTTATTAATCTCGGAATCCCAGAGCGTGTATTAATGTTGCCCGTTTGGCCCAAGTCCCAGCTCCGCTCCTGAACGCACCTAATGGGCAGGAAGGGTGGGATCACGTCATCGGAGTAGCTGGTCCCACCTGCAGCATTTGAGGAGAAAGGGCCAGTTTTGAAGGAAACGGTGAAACTGTGAACTTTGCCTTGTGGATTTACAGGCGTGATGGGTGAATATGAACCGAAAATAGAAGTTCAGTTTCCGGAAACCCTCCCGGCCGCGAAGGGCTCCACCGTGAGGCTGGAATGCTTTGCCCTTGGAAAGTAAGTTCCGTGGCTCTCGCTCCCACGTGCCGGGTGGCAGGTGCCATAAGGCAGCGAGCGAGACGGTTCTCCACAGACTCTTCTTTTTTTATTTTCTAATTTTTTTCACTTAGAAGCCGAGGAGGAGTCAAGTCCGGGGGAAATGCACGTATGTAATTTAGTTGGAAACATTAAAGGCATTTGCTGAAATTGCTTCCACCTGATTTCGTGAACTAAACTCGTTTTTCTTTTCCTTGTTTCCTACGAAAGTGCAGTGGGCACGTTAGACCTTTTACACTAAATCATGAATTTACTCGAGAAAGTGCAGTGTTTATTGTATTGCACTGTGAACGTAGAGAGGTGGGTCTTGGCGTGAGGGCCATGTCCTTGACAATTGACACGCAAAGCTGCGTCTTTTTCTCAATCCAAACCCAACGCTTCACTTGGTTCCAGACTTCAGTTTACAATAGCAAATAACGCGACGTTTTCTCCGCAGCCCTATACCCCGGATCACCTGGAAAAGAAGCGATGGGCGGCCTCTCCCCGGTAAAGTTAAACTGCGGGAGTTCAACGGCGTGCTTGAAATCCCCAGCTTCCAGCAGGACGACGCCGGCTCCTACGAGTGCGTCGCCGAGAACTCCCGCGGGAGGAACGTGGCCAGAGGGCGGCTCACCTACTACGGTCGGTGTCCCCGTGGCCGTGGGAGCGGGAGCGTTTCTCTTATCAGATGCCGCCGTGGTTGGGGCGGGAGGTCACGGCAGAACCCAGTGCCTCACGGGGTCTACGCGTGGTTAAATAGGATAAATATCCTAGGGGGAGTTGACAAGAAATGCAGCTCTGCGGGCGGAGGCCTGCTTTTTAAATGATTCATATGGTGATGAAACATTTCACTGTCTCTTCTGAGAATAACCGTTTAGACACTTAACCATGTCAAGGGGAGACGTCTCTTCTGGAAAATGTGGTTTGATGTGTTTATTACGGTTACGAAGCAGAGGAACTTCCGCTGGAAACGCGCGTCACCGCAGCAGAGGGGCCGCTGGCCGGTGGGGTCCTGACCCTCGCTGGCAGCTGTCCCGGGGACAGGGCCGCCCGCGTGCCGCCGGGGACCTGTGATGACATTTACGTGATGCACTGCTCAATTCCGGAAAGGACAGGGCGACACTGTTGCCGTCACTTAGAGTCTATTTGTAGGGAAATTAGATTGTCTTTTTAGTCTAGGTCTGTTTCCAAATAACCTTTTATTAAAAACATGCATTTTTTTTTATGGCAGCCTGATTTAAAATGGGTGATTTTATAAAGTGTGCTGTAAAAATGTGAGCATGGGGGGAGTGAATATGTAGTTGCAGTGTAATCACTAGAAATATTACAAAACTCGCGGGAACTGGCCACTTCTGTGCGGAGAAAATTACATTATGGTCCAGTCCCCTGGGCAGCTGGGAACTGGAGCCGGTTGCCGGGCTCGCTGGGAGGGCCACGTAAATGTCGCAGGGGAGAAAGCGTTTGCAGACACACGTTAAAATGACGCGGTTTATTCTGACCCCCCGAGAAAACCCAGGCGTGCAGGTGCGGAGGCCCTGACTCGCGGACAGGCGGGAGGGACTCGGACGCGCGTGTGACCCGCCTCTCCCTGCCGGCCCCGGGGAGAAGGCAGGACACCAACCTGCAGGCACCCGGCGTCCCCGGCTGCGTGCTGGTGGCCGATGCAGCGGTGGGCCCGGCTGACAGCTCTAAGGCCGCCCCGAAACATCGTTTACTCGCAGGTCTTGGGTTAGTTGCTCCTTTCCACGCAGGTTAGAAGCCCTGGCTCGGCTTTTCTAGGACTTCTTGTTTTTCTGTTTTCATCCATCTGTCTCTCCCCTTCTCTGCATGCGAGTTCACAGCCGTCACACAGTGGCTGCAGCCGTCGGCGCGCCCGTCCCTGTTCACGCTTCCTTCCTCCCAAACACCTCGAGTCCCCTTCTCCAGTCCCGCGGTCCCCGTGCCGATGGCTGACCCAACCCCACCAGGGAGACTTGCTCGGACAAGTTCAGAGAGTCTGTTTGGAGCAGGGAACAAATCAGGTTTTCCTGGATTTTGTGGGCAAAGTGAGGTGATGGGAGAGAGGATGGCTCCGTGAAAACTGGGGTTGTTTTAGGAATAAAGAAGGGGGGAAGCGAGCACGATAGGCAACCTCCATCATCCGCTGAGACTGGCAAAGGAGACAGACCACGGCCGGGGTCCATGCGCAAGGTCTGTGTCTCAGAAATCAACGAGACAGTTTCATGAAAGTTACTCCAGTTACCTGGTTACCGGCCCTAATAGTTCATGTAAAAGATGGTCTGATAGGATATTTGGGTCTCACCTGACGGAACAAGGGGGTGTCCCAACTAAAGCGGCAGTTGTAGCTCCCAGGACTGGCCCAGATGGAAAATTATTTGGAGACGCAGCGGCGTGTGGGGGCCGGTGGAAAACCTTGCTGGAAACTCGAGTGGCGGCCACGGGCTCGTGGGTGAGGCCTGTTCGCAGCCTCGCCCCACTTAGGCCGGTAATTTCTGCAAGAAAAAAAGAAACTGTTTCAATAAAACGAAGTGATTTTGGCCTGAACTATACTTCGGCGTGGACAAGTGGTTTATATGAAACAATGAAATAAGGTAAAACGTAGGTCCAATTTCTCTAAAAGCTCAATAGTTCTATTTTCATTTCAATTTCATTTTTTTAGAAAGCAATTTTACGAGATAGAAATGGAGAGACCCATCTTCCCAGGGTTGCAATTAAGTAGAAATAGATAAACTGTCTCTTTCAATGTGGGCGATGCCGACGGGAGCCCCCGCCCACATCAGGTGTGGGGCTTGGAACCCGTGTGACACCCGCCTCCGGGTTTGGGGCCTGAGGCGGGAGCTGAGAGCCGGCTGAGCGCTGAGTGCTGAGCGGCTCCGCTGTGGGTGGTATGTTGCTTTCATCTGTAAAAAGAACTTTCCAAAGAGCATCTTCTAAAACACAAGTGAAAATGATAAATCCGCTTGGCACAGCTGATCTGCATACTTAATTTAAGGCTGCCCAAGTTTCCCCTTTTTTCATAAAAACTCATACAATTCAGATGGAGCCCATTTACCCATCTTCCCTGCTTTCGTTTTAATTCACTCAGAGGCTCACAGGCTCCTCACTGGTTTGCATTTAATTAGAGTTTCTCTAACCTGAAGGAAGTATTCTCTCCTCGGCTGCAGAAGTGTCTCCCCTATGGATGTGAATTTTTAGTGCATAATTAAGACGGTACCTGCTGTCACTCACGGATTAAGTTCCCATCAGTTGTGACCTCATGATTCAAAAGTACACGTGGAAATGAAAATCTATCTGTGTACCTGCGTTACCGTCCACTAGCAGACACCAGACACTGAAGAATGTCCTAAGATGCACAGAATCTGAAAACAGACAAAGTGTGAGGACTTTGGCTCAGGAAACGACAGATGGCCACCTCCACCCTCAAGTCTAGAAATATTCACGGATCCATGTGATAGAGACATTTAGGAATCCACGTGGTAGAAATGGTCACGAATCCACGTGAGAAATATTCAGGAATCCACGTGGTAGAGACATTTAGGAATCCACATGGCAGAAAGGTTCAGGAATCCACAGGATCCACATGGTAGAGACATAGGGAATGAAATACCATCTCAGGCTCAGCGCTCACATCAGTCCGCTGCTCACAGTCTTGTATCAGTTTACATTTATGTGAAGAAAGTATTTTTTCTTTGCTGGGAGGGTTGAAGAATTTCTTCCATTGCAGCAAAGCCTCACTGGGTTCAGCGCATCCAGGACGTGGAAGCCGCCGTGGAGGAGAGTCTCTACTGGGAATGCCGGGCGAGCGGGAGGCCCAAGCCCTCCTACCGGTGGCTGAGAAACGGGGAGGCCCTGGCGCTGGAGGTGAGGCCCTGTCCCCGGTGAGGTGCAGTGCGGGTGGAATTCCAGTCATGGGGGGAGAGGGTCTCCACGTTGCATTTCAATGGGAATTTAGTGAATTTTTGTGAATTCAGCCTATGCAACTATATACCACTTTTTGGCTTTGAAGTTCGAGAAGGCCTGACTTTAGTCAAGTGCAGAAAGTAGCCCCTTTTTTCCTGGGTGACCCCTTGCAGGGCCTCTGGATTATAAATGCCTCTCTTACCTAATTGCCTGTCACAGGAGTGTGTGTTTTCTGTCACTTTCTTCTCAAGCCAGGTGATTTTTGTTCTCTTTAAATTGTGTACAGAGTTGATAATGTTCCTTCAGATTTCTATATGTAACATTTCCTACTACCTACAAACCCTTAACAGGTGTGTTTCCCAGAACTTTTATTTTTTTAAAGTGTTTTTATTGATTTTAGAGAGAGGAAGGGAGAGAGAAACGTCAATGATGAGAGTCATTGATGGGCTGCCTCCTGCCCGCCCCCGACTGGGGATCGAGCCCGAAACCCGGGCATGTGCCCCGACCAGGAATCGAACCACGATCTCCTGGATCCTAGGTCGACGCTCAACCGCTGAGCCACACCAGCTGGGCCCAGAACGCTTTTTAATGCATGGAATTTATAACGTCTCTAATTGGCATGATTTTTAAAAAAATAATGGAAACCTTTCCAGTTGGACAGCATGGGACGTTTTAAAGGTCTGCGATGGTGACCATGGGGGAAAATTATGTGGCTGCAGCATTTTACCTCTTCTTCTGTTACTTATCTCAGGGATACACTTTTGGACCAAAGGGTGTTTGTTAGTGTTTCCAGCATGTGGCTGTCGGGTTAAATCAGTCTCACATTTTCAAATGGGGAAGAGTTGAAGGTTCACCTGAGGAAACAGAGGATCGTGGGAGGAAACGTCAGTCAGAGGTTCCTCTGCCCTGAAACGGTGGCTGCGTTTACCCGAGAGACGTTCTGTCTCCGTCCAGGAGCGGGTGCAGCTGGAAAACGGCGCCCTGACCATCGCGAACCTGAGCGTGGGGGACTCGGGCATGTTCCAGTGCGTGGCAGAGAACAAACACGGCCTCGCCTACTCCAGCGCCGAGCTCAGGGTCCTGGGTGAGACTCCGTCTCTCTTGTCCTGTTATTTCCCCTAAATCTTCCATTTTCCAGAAGCAGAAAAATTTACTTTTTAAAAAATATGTCTTTATTGATTTGAGAGAGAGGATGGGAGAGACAGAAACATCAGTGATGAGTCATTGACGGCTGCCTCCTGTGCGCCCCCTGCTGGGGGCCATGCGCCCTGACCGGGAATCGAACCTCGACCTCCTGGTTCCTGGGTCGATGCGCAACCCCTGAGCCACGCCAGCCCGGCAGAAATATTCTCTTTATATTCCCACATCTGATGAGGCCCACTTTTCCAGCAGAGTTGGTCGGGGTTTCCAGCCAGGGCCTAGCCTCCAGGGGCGTCTGTTTTTTACGCCTCACCGGGGATTTAGAAACGTCGAGCCCTTGTCCTCTCCTGTTCTTCCTTCCTCTGCAGCCTCGGCTCCGGATTTCTCCGAGGCCCCCATGAAGAAGCTGGTCCGGGCGCAGGTGGGCAGCGAGGTGGGCCTGGACTGCCGGCCCCGGGCCTCCCCCAGGGCCGCGGCCTCCTGGAAGAGAGGCGAGGCGGCCGTGCGGGACAGCGGAAGGTACCCGGGCTCACCCAGGTGGTGATTGCTTTCCCCCCACTCTCCGCAGGGATACCCGTTGGCCTTAGAAACAGTCAGAGAGCCAGTTATTTTACCAGCAAAACGGGTTTACTCGGGAACAGCAAGGAGACGCCGCTGGGGACAGCGGGCGGGTCACCCTCCTCGAGTCGAGGAGCGGCAGCTGGGCAGGGGCGGTTGGAAGAGCTCAGGGCCGGGGCGGTGGCAGCTTCTTGGGGGCTGGGTGTCGCCAGGAGCCCAGCCTGAAGGCCGCCAGCTAGAGGTTCGGTGACAGCTGACAAGCTGTGTGCGCAGCTGGCCAGGAGGAACCCTTCCTGCCCTGGTCTGCCCTGGTCTGTCCCCGTCGGGGTCCTGGGTGGCCGTGGCCGACAGCGCCCCCTGCAGGGCGTCCCCACGCCATTTTCAGCAGGGTTTCCTTCATTTTCAACACACGGAAATCAGCTTCAATAGGAAGCAGATGTGGTAGCATTTCAATAAACTGTGAGGCGTTTGGAGCCACACGTAGCAGTTTTTCCCTGTAATTGGCTCCTGATGATAGTCGCCCGTTCCTGAGCTCTCACCTGTTCCCACCGAGAGCACCTTATCTTAGGATATCCTCCCCTGTCCCGGTGAGCCTGGGATGATAAAGGAATTGTGGCCCGGTGACCCAGCGTCCCCCGGCAAAGAGGAGGTGACGTCCTGACAGCAGAGGACAGACAAGCACCAGGACTGCTGTGGCCCCAGATTAAGATAACTTAGCATCCCTGGTGTTAATTTAAGCAAAGGCTCGCTTGGTTTCCCGGTTATTGCAACAACCTGTAAAACGAAGCGGCCGGCTAAGAGCCAGGATGCCTGGGTGGAACCGCCCAGGAGTGACCTCCTGTCTCTGTCTTGTGTTGCCCTTGTTAATGGGGTGACGTGTTAGCACCCACTTCAGGTTAGAGGGTCGGCATGTGGATGCAACACAGATATCCATGGAGCAGTACCTGGCAGGGAAGGAAGGTTAGTATCTGCTGTTGATAGTCCTTACTGAGTGGCCTCCACGTGCCTGGCGTTATGATCAGAAGTAGTGACAAGCTGAACGGCCCAGAGGCGCCCACGTCCTTACGCTGGAAACCAGTGACCACGTTACAGGGCAGGACAAAGGACAGTTAACAGTGAAGATGGAATTTAGGTGGCTACCCGTAGACTTTATAATAGGAGATTATTCTGGGTCACCTGGGTGGGCTCCGGGAACCGCCTGAGCACTGAGAGGGGAAGAAGAAAGAGCCTTTGAAAGATGACTGATCATCGGGGAGCGAGTTCAGGAAGAGAGGGACCCCGGCTGGATCGCTGGCAGTGAAGAGGGTGGAGGGGGTCACTGAGAGAGGCATTTCCGACTGCTCCAGGGGGTAGGGACATCCCCCCGTCAACCTCCCGCAAGGAGCCCGGGACCTCAGTCCCGTAACCACAGCAACTGATTCCACCAGACTCAAAGGAGCAGGAAATGATTCCAGAACCTTCTGGAGGAACCCAGCTGGCAACACCTGAGTTTACCCAGTGAGACTGACTCTGGGCTTCGGACCCCAGAACTATAAGATGATAAATGTGCGCTGTTTTGGGCACCGAGTTTATAGTGTTTGTTATAGAAGGAGCCAGCCAATGCAGGGTCCACACGCATGTGTCCGTGAACTGTCTCCGAGACTCTGGTGATAGTATCCTCTCCGTTTACGAGCGAGAAAACCAGAGCTTAGAGGAATCACGTCTGTGGCCAAAAGTCACGCGGTCAGGATCTGAATCTGTCCATTTAACTCAGGGGCCTGACCACCAAGTGTCTTCGGCGCCACGTTTTGCTCAGGGACCCAGAATCTTAGAGGTGGTCGCAGCCTTTGACGCGGAACCCAGGTGATTCTCTCTATTGAGGAAGAAACAGACTAAGACCTCGGCCCAGGAAATGTGGATTTACCTTACGCAGTTGCACAGTCTGGCTGCAGACCACCAGGTTGACCTGCGTCTGGGGAACAGGCCCAGAGGTGTTTCCATGGCTGGTGATGGGCCTGCGGGCACCCAGGGTCATGGAGACGCCTCCATTAGAAGGAAGACGGCAGAGCCTGTGGTTTAACAGGACCCTCGGTGCTCGAAGCACAGACCAGACCAGACTCCTGGGGCAGGAAGCTACTCGGCTGTCTGGAGTTTAACTTCCCTGTGAGCCAGTTTAAACAAGGATGGGCTTGTGGCACAGAATAGTTAATTCTGACTCTGCTGGAAGTTAAGCCTTCCTATATAAATGCTGATGTTTCTGTGGTCTAACTTATAAAAATAATTTTAATTGTTTCCGTGAATTCAATAGTGATGTGTCCCACAGACTTCAGAGCTTCACACAATGATAAACCCACAGTCCTCACAGGAGGGCCTATAGCAGGCAGAGGTTTTTCATCTTAACTTAAAGGGGGATTAAACAGATTAAGAGATTTAGCTGAAAGTGTACAAGGAGAGATTTATTCCTACAGGTGGAGATGACAGAATGCAGAAAAAATAGTCTGCGTTCAGAATCTCACCTGGGATTCCTCACCCGGCCACTGGCTACCTGGGTGTCCTTTAGCCGTAACACCTCGGAAGCTCACGTCATCCACAAAGTGGAAATAACTCCCACCTATTTCAGCACAATGCCAGCTTTGTAATTAGGCTTGGGCCGCAGTGATGTGCACGGAAGTGGGGAGACCCCTGAGGTGGGAACAGTGCTAAGGGACTCAGTGCTGTCGCTTCCAGGTGGAGAGCATTTCAACTACGGTAATAAGGGGATTAGTCCCCAGCAGAGTCTCAGAAATGCTGCTCGGAGTAGATAACAGGCTTACGACGCAGAGACTCCTGAGCTCTCGACTGAAGTGCTCACTCATCCTTTGGAAATACTTCGAGTACCAACTACATGCTAGTCATAAGCATTTAATCTTTTTAAAATATGTTTTTATTGCTTTCAGAGACAGGGAGGGAGAGAGAGACAGAAACATCAGTGAGAGAGAAGCGTTGATCGGCTGCCTCCTGCACGCCCCCCCCGCTGGGGATCCTGACCCGGAATCGAACCCTGACCTCCTGGTTCATGGGTTGATGCTCAACCACTGAGCCACACCAGCCGGGCAGATATTTAATCTTTATCGGAAACACCCATCCCGTTGTTCTCAGCATCTTGGGGTCTGAGAGGGTGACACAGGGCAGTCGCAGTGACACGTAGTTGGGGAAGTACAGGATGCTCGTGGTTTCCCGAGAAAGCCCCGTCTCCTGGTGAGGGAGCCAGGCAGGCTTCCAGGAGAAGGCAGTGTCTGGGCGAGACGGGGGTGACGAGGGTTCCCTGGAGAAGCCGCCAGGCAGGAGGAGCAGCGGGTGTGGGGGCACAGAGGCCAGGGTGGCCGGGGTGTTGGAGTGACGAAGGCTCCTGCGCCTCGAGTGGACGGTGCCCTAGGAGGGGCGCAGAGGGGCGAGCAGGGGCCTTACTGGGAATGCCGAGTTTGCCGAATCGCAGAGTCTGGGCTTGATTCCAGGGGCACTGGGGAGCCACAGGATACGTCAAAGTAGCAACGTCAGAAGATGAAATATCTGCTTGAAAGCGTGGGAGTGGGGAGCGTGGGTTGGGGTGGAGAATCCCAGCTAGCAACAGATTATAGCCGAGCTAAAGAAATGGAGATGAGAACAGAGAGAAGGGGGTTCCAATCAGCGGGACCTCGGAGCTGATCCAGTGAAAGATCTGAAGAGACCTGAAGAGACGAGAAGATGGGAAGGAGCTGAGGGTGAATCCTGTTTCCAGCTTCATCCCCAGGGAGGGCACGTGGGAGACCGGACGTGCCTGATGGAGCCGGACAGGGGCGCGCAGGTCAGGCTCTGTCTGGGGCTGGCTGGGTGCGAGATGGTCGTTGGAGAACCGGCTGGAGGCACCTTGGCACCCAGAGGTTGACTGGATGCATCGGGGACTCGGCAGAGAGGCCTGAGCTGCAGACGAGAGTGTAGGTGCCGTGAGCAGGGGGATGGCAGCGAGAGCCGTGGATCGGCGTGGACCTGTCGGTACGTGGAAGGATCCACCTCTCGCCTCTGAAGCTGGTTGAAATGTAACTACTGAGGGGAGGATCCCTGCTTATAATCCCGTTGAAATGGCCAATGGAAGATGAGTGTGACTCACCGGGTGGGCAAAGGCATCAAACTTTGAAATTACCGCATTGACACGAGCGAGGTTGCCTTGTTTTGTTTGGGGATTTGGGCTCTTTTTCTCTGTTACCCATTGCTGAGCGGAGGAGGTGAGCCCCTCCTGCCTCCCGGAGCACGTGCCCGGAGCAGCGACATGCTCTTCCTGCTGCGCCCTCTGGGACCTCAGGACCTGCCGGCCTCGGGGCTGTTGCATTTATGCATTTCCGCAAATCCATGTGTTTTCAAGACTTGAATTAAGATGGAAGGATTTTTCTCCTTTCAACAAAGTAAACCTGAAAAAGACCCCGGAGGATGCAAACAGGCCCCGTCGGTGAGAAGGAATCTCCATTGGCACATTTTAAAGGATGCTTTGCTTTTCCGTATCGCTTAGTGTTTAAAATGCATTCACCAATTATTTTTTAAAATGGGGCTTTCACCTGAGTGCTGTTGCTTATCGTGGTGAATGTTTTATTGCAGTGGCCTTAATTCAGAAGAGAGTCGAAGGATGGCCTGTGACTTCTAATTAAACACATTAAAATTGTTTTATGTTCTGTGTGGCGTTTAATACTGTAGAAATTTAAATGCATTTTGGAGGAAATTGTAAACATTTCTTCCAAATATTAATAGCCGTGATGCAGACAATGTTTTTAAAATGTATTTACCAATCCTCTGTATTTTTTGCATGTAGTTAGAAGGTGGCTTTGGAGATGCCATCAACATTATACGCCGTGAGGTCTATTTCTGTGACATTCCTAAGAAGGGAACAGCTTTGGGGACAGAAAACAGCCCTCAGTGCTGGGCGGAGCCGGGACTAGGTGGAGAGGGTGCCCTCAGGCCATGGGTTTGGAGGGGGGACACACTCTTCTAGAGCTTGATCGTGACGTGGTTACATGGTGCCTGCCATTCATTTGTTAAAACTCAGAACTGTACACCAAAAAAAGTGACTTAGACTGCATGTAGATACCTTAATTTTTTAAAAGTATGTTTTTATTGATTTTTAAAGAGATAGAAACATCTATAAGAGAGAAACACCCATTGGCTGCCTCCTGCACGCCCCCTACTAGGAATGGAGCCGAAACCTGGGCGTGTGCCCTGAGCAGGAACCAAACCGTGACCTGGTGCAGGGACGTTGCTCCACCAACTGGGCCACACCAGCTGGGCAACACCTGAATTTTTTTAAACAAAATTGTATGTGCAGTTTTACATTCATCTCATCCTGACTTCATGAGTAGCTTCATGTCCTTTAAAAGTTCAAGAAATGCTGCCGGCAGGTCACCTTTGCCTTTTGGGACGTGTTGAGTCATCCATCCAATGAGACCACGTCGGAGCAGAATCTCAGTCTGCCGGTTAACCGCAGGCTGCTTACGTTCCTGCGTGTGTGTATCGGTGTCGTTATTTCCATGAATTATTTATGCCTCGTTATTTGTGCAGTATGCTAATTACTGTGCACGTTAGTCGCTGTGTCAGATGAAGTTGACTGTGAGTTCCTCTGCTTCTTGGTTTAATTTTAGCCCAAAGAAGAGTGGAGAGAAGACAAAGACAGAAAGACAGGGGGTCAAGTTGTGGATCTGCCACTTACCCACCGCCCGGTGTGAGGGTGGACAAGTCACTCGGCCTCCAGGTTTCAGTTTCTTTGTTTGTGAAACGGGCCAGACAGACCTGCCTGCAGGGTTAGTCATTTTGTTCCGTGGCGTTTGCTGGCCACACATTCTTGGCATGAGTTTGGCCAAACATCTGGTCGACCCTGACAGGCGGCGAACGGATGGGCTTCCTTTGGTCAGCTTACTTCCGCCTCTGTCCCTGCCCCGTGTCCCTCCCAGCCTGGGTGCCGCTTCCTCGACCTGAGCGACTGCAGTTGCAGGAGTAGAAACAGAATCGTGTATGTGAGGCGTCTGCGGGGACAGCCTCTCCACGGGCTTTCCGACGGGGGCCCTGCTGCTGCTGTTGGGGGTTTTAATCCTCACGAGAGGGTGGTTTTTCCATCGCTTTTCAGAGAGAATGGGAGGGAGGGAGGAGGAGGGAGAGAGATGTTGACGAGAGACTCATCGATGGGTTGCCTCCCCCACACGCCCCGAGTGGGTCCAGGGATCGAGCCTGCACCTGAGGTCATGCCCTTGACCGGAATCGAGCGCGCTAGGCATCGATGGCATGGTATAGATAGTAGAGATATTAGGAATTAAAAAGGAGATAACTATGGAGAGCGCAGACCGGCAGTGAAGACTCTTGATGGGACTGAGGACAGGCCCACCCTTCCTCCCATTTCTCAACCCGAATGACACCTCCTCTGAGAGGCTTTTCCGATGCAGCCGTCACTCTGTGGTATCATCGGGCCTGTGTCCTGCGGAGCACTTTCCAAAACTCCAAACTGACATGTTTACGTACATGACGACTGACTCTGTGCCACCAGAGCCCGTCACCCAGGAGGGGCCCTTGTCTTGCGCCCACAGGAGCCCAGAGACACTCACGGTGCCCGGCTCACGGGAGGCACGCGGTGGTTTCATCCCGTGTTAATTAGACGCTGGAGCTGCGGGAATGTGGAGCCTGTGCTCAGAAACTCGGTGTCTGTGCTGCTCAGATCCAGTGCCGCGGCGCATGGGTGACCGTCAGATGTCCTCTTGTGGAATCTGGGTTCTCCTGGGTTGAATGCACCTCCGCCCGGGTGCACAGTGAAAGGCCAGCGGGTTCCTTATTTCTCAGACCCTCTTCCAGACCGAAGGGAAATCTTGGGCCAACGTTTTATTCCCTCCAGACTGGAAAGGCTGAGCCACGAGTGACCGGCCTTACCGTGTGTTTTTGGAAAATATTTCCCACTTATTTGATGATGGAATCTCCCAAATTAGGTGTGATGTCTACGCAGATAAGTCACCCTGAGTGAGGTCCTGGGGGG